CCCCCCCCCCTCACTGCCAGGCAGCATTTGGCCCTATCTTACATGCATTTCCACTGAGGTGGCACCATCTTGGCTGAAGGGCTCAGCTATGCCCTGCGGTGGGTCCACTGGAACCGGCAGTGTCCAGCATGGGGCAGCTCCAGCCTCTCCTCACAGAGGCCACCCTGCAATCTGCCCACTGCCACCTGCTAGACACAGATGTCCAGGACCCTTCGGTAACCTGCTGTAGCACTTAATGGCTCTTACTGTTGAGTAGGAGAGATGCTTGGAAACGTACAAATTTGGTGATGGGGGGGGTGGGGAACGTCAGGTCAACTATCATGGCCCTTTAACTTTCTGGCTAGCTTTAAGCTTGTCTCGGAGGTAAGTTCCTAAAACAAATTTGCTGAGTCTGGGTTGCTATTTTCACTTTAACTTGGTGCATCTTTTATACTAGGGTTTCAGAGGAAGAGATGGGAACCAGCATTATGGTGTATGTAGTGGTTTAGGGTCACCCGTGGTGTGTCGGGGGGAGATCATCTGCTCCACTCTTTCTGTCCCCAGGGTTCTGCTGCCACTTGGTTACCTCCTCTGCCTTGCCTGCTTTCCAAAGTGACCTGCATGCCTTGGCAGTTTTATTCCTGTCTTGTTTGTGCTGAACATCGATGTTAGCATGGCTTACCCACCTCCTCCTCCCCTGATGTATTGCTCTGTATTCTACCCGGTGAATATTATCCTATTGCATCCATATTTCTAATTTCTGCACATCTCTTGTATTACCTCAACTGTCTTGGTAGTAACTGCCAATTTGATAACCTGTGAAGATAAAATGCTGTTTGCTAATCCTCTTCAGATTATTAATAAAGATGTTATGTTTTTGGAATGGGTAAACAAGCTTTTATAAATGTATGAAATTAATATTTACCTCAAAATTAATTGACATAAAATTATTGGGCACTGCAGAATTTTTTCCAATAATGTTAATCTTTCTGGGTATCTAAAACTCTTCACAGGATTAAACTACTTTCCTCTAAACCTGTTTACTTGCAATCTTTAAGACCCTGGACACAGTTATTTGACTTCCAACTGCTCTTGAAACATCACTGCTGGAGAGAGCCAAGGTTTAACACAGTACTGCAGATTAATAAATTACTGGAATGCGCAATATCTTTCATACTTTTGGAAATAAGTTTTTTAAAAAAATTAATTGTCCTGAAAACAGTGTTTGTTTCAGCAAAAAGAATAACAGCATTTTCTATAACCCCTTGCTAGGGAGGATTGCAAAAGTACTTCAGAAAGTCATTAGACCTCTGGTCGTGCATATTTGTTGTGCATACTGTGCATATACCTCAATCTCTGTTTTATCAGTGAGGAATAAGAATGGAACAAGGAGGCCTTTCATTGTCTAATATAAAACAAGAAGTTTGTATTGGTGCCAGGTATGCAATTTAGGAGCCTGAATTACCATGACCTGATACTATTTCATGATGTCTTGTGGAGTCATGTTCAAAGTGAATGCTAATGGGCTGCCACGATGAAGAGGTAACATCTTTATAATGGAAGATCTAGAGCAATAGGAAATTGGACATCCCTGTGATTTACAGTAATCACTAAAGCATGCTTATTACTTGTTCTTGTTTAGCCCCCCCTATTTGGAACTTGAAATAGATTCTAGCACTGCAGGGCTTCCATCTCTTCACCTGATGAAAATGGAGAAAATGAAAAGATGAGACCTTGTTTGGGAAGTACCTTTGAAACATGTTTAGTGAAGGTCATCCTTAAGTACAAAGTGCTTCAGCCAAGCTTACTCATTTCTTTGATTAGAGGTCAAGTTTTTAAGTGCGTTTAAAAAAAAAAAAAAAGTTTGCTGGGCAGCTTCACACCATGCCCCCAGAAATCCCCTGGGGAATAAATTGAAACACTTGAAACTGAATACTGCTTGTGACAGGGTACTGAAATGGAGCAAGTATTGAGTGCAAGTCTCTCTAGGACCTGGCCATTTCCCTAAAAAGTGTAGAAGAGTTAGAAGCAGGGATGGGTGAGCCAAGAGGTATATAGAAACGCTGATCATTCAGGGATAGGATTAGGAAAGTCAAAGCCCACACAGAATCTGACAAGTGATGTGAAGGGCAACAAAAAGGGCTTCTAAATGGGTATGAGAGAAAATTTGGATCCACTGCTGAATGGGGCAGGAGAATCTTGTGACAAAGGATGGGGAAATGAATGAGGTACTTGCTGTCTTCTTTGCCATGGCTTTTACTGGTAAAACTTACCTTCAGCAGTCCCAGGCCCCCAAGATCAGTGATAAAGTTTGGAGCAAGGAAGATTTAGACTTGGTAGAGGAGGATCAGATTATGGAACACTTAAGCGAGACGCATACAAGTCCACAGGACTTGGTGAGATGTATTAACAAGTGCTGAATGAACAGGTTGATACCATTGTGAGGCCACTTGATTACCTTTGAAAGGTCATGGTAATTGAGGGAGACTTCTGGGGACTGGTAGAAAGCAATCGCCACCACTGTCTTCAAGAAGGGCGAGGAGGAGAATCAGGGCAACTATAGGTGATTGACCTCATATAAGTCCCCAGGAAGGTGATGGAGTAAATCCTGAAAACTGATTCCAAACACATAAAGGACAAGAAAATGATTGGGATTAGTCAGCACGGATTTCTGAAGGTGAAATCATGCTTGATGAACCTGATAGCCTTCCATGATGACATGACTAGCTCGGTAGATAAGGGGAGAGCAGTAGGTGCTGTTTATCTTGACTCTAGTAAGGCTTTTGACATTGTCTCTCATAACATTCTGATTGACAAACTGATGAAGTGTGGATTAGACAAATAAACAATGAGAGAAACTCAAAACTGGCTGAGCTGCTGGCCATATAGGGTTGTGGTCAGTAGTGCAAAGTCCAGTTGGAAATCAGTCCCTAGTGGTGTACCCAGGGACTTGTAGTAGGGCAAATACTGTTTAACATCTTTATTAATGATCTGGATGATGAGACTGAGTGTACCTTCAGCAAGTTTGTAGACTGTACAAAAGTGGGAGGAGTGGCTGAAACACCACATGATTGTGTTGCCATTCAGAAGGATTTTGGGAGGCTGAAGAAATGGGCCGACAGGAATCCTGTGAAGTTCTGCAAAAGGACTGCATGCACCAGTACTGACTGGGTGGAAAGCAGCTTGGCAGAAAAGGTCCTGAAGGCTGTGGTGGATACTAAGCTCAGCAGGAGCAGCACTGTGCCCTTGAAGCAAAGAACACCAACAGCTTCCTCGGCTGTATGAGGAAGAGCATCAGCGGCAGCTTGAGGGGATGATCCTTTCCCTCCTCTGGGAGGGGT